TGGTGACTTCAGTCTACCAAGTTGTAAGTGACAGTCATCGTGTGTTGTTCGTCGGGGTGAAACTATTATACCGAATATTCGAGTACTCGCTTGATTTTTTCAAAAATAATCGTATTCGGAATAAATCAGAGTACTCTTTCATACGTGGTTCATGCATTTACCACAGAAATCTGCAGTTGCAGAGCAGCAGTCAGTAGATATTGATGTGCAGACTGTGTGGTGAACATTTGTACACAAGTAGAGAGAGCCCAGATGACCCACCAATCAGTATACGTGTGGGAAATGACTGCCAATCCGTTCAATCAGGGCTCGAATATTCGATTGGAGAAAATCAGAGTACATGTACAAGTACTCGAACTCTGGATCTCAGTGCCAACTTTCACCCCTAGTTGTGCGGATATGTTTGGATGTGTGCATCCACAGAGCTTTGCATGTGTTGTGGCTCCTCAAAGCATGGTATATCGACGGTTTCACGTTTGGTCCTCTACTATTGCGTGCCAGTGAAAATGGATGATCCTGTGGTTTTCCTATGCGGTTGTCTTTTGACAAATGTCGGACTGTCCGTATGTCTGCTTGCTATGCTCTATCTTTGCTTTGTGTAGTGGGTTGGAACGAAACAGACCGAATTGGAAGCCAGCTCAATGCAGCTGCTCTTTTACCAAGTGAGTTTTCCGTGTTGCGTTGGCTGAGCGTGTTGAATGTGGGTCTTCAACTTGTGGGAAGACTCCGTGCAACTGTGTGCCCAGGTGTTAGTACACTCTCAAACGTTTTTTCTAGGTGTGCGGGGAGAACTTTAGATGTACAGAACCTCTCTGCTGCACTTAGCTAACATTTGGTGCCGATAAACAATCCAACCTGATGAATATCACAGCACCAGGATTTGTGCTGTCCTTGCACTACAGATGCTGCTAGTCTGTGTAGTAAACATGGCTTTGTTCAAGTTTGGTGTATTCATGAAGTCTGAATTCATTTGGTGCAGTGTATCACCGTGCGATTATGCAGTGAACTCGGACAATTTCTGTGTGCGTGTGTGTGTGTGTGTGTGTGTGTGTGTGTGTGTGTGTGTGTGTGTGTGTGTGTGTGTGTGACCAGGTGTGCATTGGGGGGCCGATTCACGTGGCTTCGCCAGTTGTGTGGATTAGACAGTTATCTGGCGCTTGTCTTGATCTGTTTCAATCAGAATCAGATCCGCTATCGTTGCTATAAAGAGAAAATCTGTGGGTGCACATCCAGTGCATTTGCAGATTTGCGTGCTTCTCTTGCGACGGGCGTATACATGGTACATGGTGTGTGTGTGTGTGTGTGTGCGCGCGCGCGTGTGTGCATGCACGTCTGCATGCGTGCCTGCTTGCTTGCATTTGTCTGCTTGTGCATGCACATGTGTATGTACATGTATGTGTGTGCAGGCGCCTATTTCAGCATGCATGCTATCAGTAGTTGTGTTTTTACAAGAACCACCGTGGTCATCGACTGGACTGTTCTCTATTCTAACTCTTCGTGTTTCGGTAAGGATGTTTCACAAAGTGAATGAAAAGGGAAAGAAAGGAATTTTCCCATCACATCATGTATCCGCAATAGGGTCAGTCAGCCGGGTTCTCTTTTGTTCTCGAAATGTGGCCAGGCATGCAGGCATGAATGCTAAGCAATAGGCTTCACACGTTGCAGCGTTACGTTTGTTCCTGCACACGACCCAGCACTATCTGAGTCCCACCAGTCCTGGATATCGGCCTGCCAGGTTTACAGGTCTTCGAGAGTTTCCGTGCTTCCACCGAGGGAGTGTATGTCAAAGAGCGACGAGGCGCTAAAGCCAATACCATATATTCTCTATTATAAGCGCCGTGCTTATATTTTTTCAACACCCCTCTACCCCGTGCTTATATTAGAAACCGCGCTTATATTGGAGACCGTGCTTATATTGGAGACCGTGCTTATATTTTTTCAACCAATACATCCATACAGAGAAAGAAGAAATACATGCTAGATATCATGCATGCCGCATTGATTTCCAACAAGACCGTGCTAATAATAGAGACCGTGCTTATATTGTTTCAAAAGGTGCTCAAAGTGTGCTAGTATTAGAGACTGTGCTAGTAATGGAGACCTGTGCTTATAATAGAGAATATACGGTATTACAAGTACGTATAGCCTTTTGTGGTTGCGGGAACACCTTTCTATGGTTGCAAGGAAAAAGCAGGTTGGTCAGATGACCCAATACTTTTGTTTTGTATCACTTGTGAAACCAACGCGTATAGCCGTTTGGGTTGTAGGCTTGCCTGCGAATCATGAGGTTCCGAGTTCAAACCGGCGCAGGTAACAGGGAGTGTGTTTACTGTTTAGTGCTCTCTCAATCGCGTGATGCAGGCGAGTACCACTTTACATGCAATGAACTGTGCCGATGCCCACGGTGAACTGGGTACTCACTTGCTCGGTGTGAGGGTAACAAGGATGCGGTTATAGGGCCTTTACACGCCCGCTTGTTGAGAGGCTTATCCCCTCTCCCCTGACTCACTTGTGAGGTCTGCATTCGACACTGAGGATATATGGGTGAAGTGGTGGCCCGCCGATGTGAATGTATTTGCTTGATGTGTTCCTCAACACGTCAGGTGATGCGGCTGCGAATCCGGCTAACTTTTTTTTTTTTTTTTTTTGTGAAATTCATCCGGCAGAAACTAGTGAGGACTAGACTGTCTGCTAGTCTTTATTGTGCATGAGTGCTATTGATTGCACCCTCATCGGAACCACATGTATTGCCCCTGTGTGCTCAGGCCCTTGTGTTGCTGTCGGGTGTTGTGGCATTCTCTGTGAACCTGTCGATCTTTTGGATTATTGGCAAGACATCGCCTGTTACGTATCCTCTTTCACAAAGTTAGGTCTTACTTGAGATGCTTGCACATTGTAACTGGATTGAGGTACGTGTTATTTCGGTGTAATGTAAATTAACGCAATAGCGAGTTGCGTATATCTTTCTTGTTTCCACGAAAACTTTTGTAAACACTTTTTGGCATTTTTGGTAGCGAAACCAGTTACCTAAATTTAGAAAAGCTTGGGGATATGGGCGATATTTGAATAGATATGCTTGTCACCTAAATCGAAGTTACACCTGAACCCCTTGGACCACGTAAATGCATGTGTTCTGCAGTAGTGGACCTCTGCTAAGCTTGGGAGGGTTAGCAGGTTGTTTGGGCTGGGAGTAGAAATCTTTATTATGCAGCGTATCTTTTGTCGACTTTTCAACCTTCTGAGGGAGCTGAGAGTTCTTTCCTTGACTAAGGTTTTTTTTTCAGCTATAATATGGTGGGCCACACGAAGTTCTGCATTACAGTCCTGTCTGGTACTCTGATATTCCACGACCCAATTTCACTGAACCAGGCTGTTGGGATGTTCCTTACGTTTTCCGGCGTTCTGACCTATACGCACTTCAAGATTGGCGAGCAATCAAGCAAGAACTCGGGAACGCAGCATATGAAAACGAGCGCGTAGCAATTACTGAACTGGTTCGTTGCAAAGCAGACTAGGAAATGTCCTTAGTCAGAGGTGACCTTGGTGGTTTCTTTAAAAAAAAAACCAATTTGATATCGAATTTGTTCAATCACTTTATACCGAACCTATTATCCTGTGTTATTCCTAGTTTCTGTTTTGTTTTATCGTGCTTTCTTGAGCTGTGTAAGTCAGCCATTTTAATTTGTAGGCCTTCTAGCTTCTCTGATAACTTTCTGGTTTAGTACGTCAGCTTTAACATAGCATGGCTGGCCCATGCGCTAATAATATAATTATGCCCCATCCTGAAATACTCAACTCATCCACCGTGTGTGACTAACTATCATGTCACATATTATACATATACTTATGCCGAATTTCCTGCACCCTAATTTCAAGCCATGCTCATTGTGTAAGTCCATATCGTGCCCACGCATCTGCATTATATTCCGATTCATCTTCTTTCACTGGAGTTCGTACAATAGTGCTGGCTAGGGAGTAGTAGAATACCCTGGTGCTAGCTAGTGAAATTCGACCTCTCACGTGTCGCCAGTTGTATGAGGACGTCACGTGACTGAAGTTGGGTACAGGTTGCAGAGCTGCAGGGTGTTTTTCGACTCACGGCTTGTAAAGTGTGCCCATGCCATGGTCGCGGATTCCACTGGCTAACACTGTAGTTCAATACCGTAAAATTCCGTAAATAAGCCCACCCTAAATAATGCCCATGTCCGATAATAAGCCCAGTTTCAGGCGGTGTACACTTCAAGTCCGTTTTAGCGCCCATGCCCGAAATAAGCCTAGGGCGTAAAGTGGACTCAAAATGACCAGCGCGCGAGCGTGCGTTCACGTACAAACTGTAGAACAGTTGTGCCTTGTACTTATCATAGCAAGTGGTTTACCTATCAAATCTGTAATTTCGCTACATTCTTGGTTACGACCAAATTTCCAGCTGTGGTTTGATGTACCTGTACCGCGCTCAGTGTGAATGGTGGTTCACTGAAACTAGTGGGTTGCTGATAGATTGATCTTCTGCAGATTGCATCCGAAATAACACCCATGCCCAAATATACGCCCGTTTTTTGACGCTCTGCAAAGTATACGCCCGGGGCCAAGAGTTATGAACTCTTGCCGGGGCTTATTAACGGAATTTTACGGTAGTGCACGGGTTGACTACTGGGGGAGTACTGGTGAATATCATGCTGGCTCACATGAATTTGGGCGCAGAGTACCGTAAAGTCTTGTATAAAAGCCGCGGCTTCTATGACTTTCTTGGTGAAATTTTGCAGGCTTCTATATGAGACAGGCTTCTATACAAGACAGGTATTTCTATGTATGTCAACACTAAAACCAGGCTTATGTGTGATTTGATGGGCCCACAATTGCGGCTTCTATTCAAGTGCGGCTTTTATACAAGACTTTACGGTATTTCTACTACCTTCAACAACTGTGAGCACACGTATGGTACTGTGTAGTACACGTACATGGCATGGCCTTCCTACACAATGAAATAGCCTTGCAGCCAATAAGAAACAGGATAAAATGTCCAAGTTCAGATATATACACAATTACAAACTACACAGTTAAAAGTTAACACTACACAATTACAAACTACACAATTACATGTGCTTCGAAGTATATACATTATGTACAAAGACGAGATCACAGACTTTGATTGCATGATCAAACGCTTCGAGCACTATACAGCTGCTCGGTGAACGTAACATTTCTACAGTAAGAATAATAGAGTATTGGTGGAATATATAAAGGATAAGCAGTAATTTGTACAGATATGGAAGTTTCAGAATGCTCTCTACAGGCAAGCTGGATATGTCCTCAGATGAAGTGCATAATAAAACACAATATGGTGGAGGTCAAGACACGCAAGTTCAGTCTTTTGCAACAAGGAATTCACGAATGCTGCTCAACAGATCTCTCTTCACATCATCTGGAACTAGAGCTGGAAGGGAGAAGCAAGGCACATGACAAGAGAATAAGCACCCAAAAGGAACATGTTGTAAGGTACCCTGCAACAGATCAACCCGTATGTACCTCCTCTGGAAGAAAAGACTTTGATCCAAGCAATACAGCCTGCACTGGAAATAACAACAGTCATGTACTATATTTGCCTAAAAAATCCGGCCAATGCTGCATGCATCGTAGTCGACTACCATGTGCAGAATAATACCCAGGATTGGTTTGATTTTTTGGCGAGTCTAGTATGTGACAATACGGTCACCATAACAAATTACATGTATGATCGTCTGCGTTGGAAAAAGTCATCACATAATTTCTTACATCTTGCTTTAGGTGTAATCATCTTCACAAGCTCATCTGCAGTCAAGTTCTCAACACCCTTCTCTTCGACAACCTCTGCCAAGCAATTGCAAGATGCAAAACACATATGATACAAGGTTAGTGTTACTGTTCATTGCATGAACATACAAATTAACAGCCCAGATGAGATGGGAAAAGTGGGAAACGGACCAGCGTGCTCCACAGCTGGGCAAAATCAGGGTAGGCCAGGCCCATATTGCAAGAAAAAAAAGGAAGAGTCAAACCCCATTTCTGCCTGATTTTGCATCATAAGCCATCAATCCCAACATGTTGCTAGTGTGCACACAAACAGAAGTTTGCTTTTCTTTCGATTCTTTGTGTATTTCCGCTCATAAATCTACCCTGACATTCCCTGATACCATAGGTATTGCTGAAGTGAATAATCGTAGCAGCAGATGAAGGCTGGAAAGCATTTGTTGTCATAAATCCATAGCACAGTACGGTGTTATTGTTTTATCACTCTGGATACCCCTGACATTGCAAAAAAAAAGGTGTCAGATGGGTAAATTTCGGAAATGTAGTTCAGCCTGAGCTATCTTGACCAAGGAACAATAAAAAAGTCCTTTTTGAAACGAAACGTGCTCTAAACAAGCACAAGTAGTTGGTACGTACTTTTCGCATGCAGTCTCAGCTGCTCTTTCCAGCCGCATTTC